AAACAGCCCAAGCTGAGGTGGCAGTTCATTCTTCTAAGCAGTTTATAAGCCAGGCGGCAAATTTGTCTGTTCTTGAGATTTGATGTGCCTGGCTTAAAGATGACACATCAGTCACAGTGGTGACTCCTCATGTCGCCTTTACTGTGCCAACAGGTTGTCTGTTAAGGAGTTGTTCTCAGCCGGTACTAGGCTCTATAGCTTTGTGGAGCACTGGAGAACTTCCACCTGGTTACCCAGGCCTGTGCTGGCAGGATCTGATGAACCGAGGCGCAATGTTGAAGTCTGGGCACAGCCTCCTTTTTCAGACACACTCCAAGACCTTGGCTTCCCTCCTTTTCCCCCTCCCCAAGCATGTGAGCTCCTTCTAAGGATTAGAATTGGCTCACCTCAGACAGAAGGGAGTAAAAGTGGCACAACAGTTCCTCAAAGTGGTGCTGGGTCACATGATAAATGCATGGGAGTTTAATTAGGAAGCTTTCCAAAATAAAAACAAAAAGCTTTTCTGGCCACATTATCACTCAGGTATCCAGGCCAGTCTATAGAATCCCAATAATGACAATAACAACAACTAGTAATTGTGCTCATCTTTACACCTAGAAAAGATTTTCTTGTGTAGCAAGAAACAGATTCGGAGAGTTTACATCCTTAGGACCACATGGCTCATGTTTGTTCTCTTCCTGTTTTTCTCTTGAGTTCTGCTTGACACTGTCAGTCAGGAAAAATAAGCAAGGGATACCTTTTGTCATAGTGAGTTCTTCCTTATCAGCAGTATGCCCGCAGAAAGCAGATAGCCTGGGATAGTGCAGAATGTAGATAGTGAACTATAGCACACCTAAGGCTGTGTTGATTCCTTACAAGGAAAATCATTTTATGAGGAAGAGTGTCCTATCTTATTCTAATATCTGCCTGCTGGTGAGGTATAAAGAAACCATCTTGGCCATTTTGAGGGCTTGATCATGGAAAACTGAACATTCTGTGTTGGAAATGTACTTTCTCTCCATACCTTGATAAGGCCAAGGTCTCCTTTCCTCTGCTTTCATGCCAGTAGAGCTTATTTCTAAACTTTTTTTTTCTGGAATTCTTCCTCTACATGCTGCTCTTTAATTTGCTTCCATCTCCTGCTTTATTCACAGGTGATCCTCTCACCTGCCTGCATTGTCCTTTCTCATCCTTATTAGAATCTAAAAATAATACTAGCCTATCATCTTGGGCTCTGCCTATGGCTCTGGTGTAGTTATTAACAGTGTCCCAGGTTTGGAAATAAATTACAGTATTTTGGCCACACCACCTTTCTCTTCAGTGGTTAGCTACGGGTATCTTCCCCTGATTCTTGCCTTGGGGCCTTGGGGATATCCACTTCTACCCTGATGATATTCTAACCTCATTGACCACCTATTCCTACATTCTGCCTCTATTCTTCAGATTCCATCTTACCTCATGCCTTATGGCACTGTTCAGTAGACATTGGTTGGAGGCTTTTTCACTAAACTTCAGTTCTTGAATGTTCTGTTCTCTGACCCTGCCCTTAACCTTCTCATTGCTTCAGCTCTTACCTTGGTTTTCTCCCTCCAGGGCTTCTCTTGGTCCCACTCATTTTTTAAAAATCCAGCCAGCACTCCTGACTGTTTCCATGCTATTTTGATTCACTGCATCTGCTTCGCCCATAAGGCTCTGAGCTTGGGAGCCTCATGAGGGCATTGATGATGGTTCTTTCCCCTAGATTCCTCCCCATCCTGCATCTGTTAGGCCCTCAAGAAATAAATTGAATCTGCTGCTATTTTACGCTTCTAAAAGTACAGTCCTCACATGAATAATTCTCTTTTCATCGCTGCCGTCAAAAACCTAGCTCTTTTCTGTGATTTGTTGAAGAAGACTTGTTTTCACTTTTCACTTTTCATTTTGCTGTTGATATTATTCCTGTTTCTCTTAAATTAGCTTCTATTGCTGTGGAAAATGCGTTGGTTCTCTGTAAATCTCTATCCCACTCTAGGCATCCTGACTCTGCACCTGGTTTCTGTCTTGCAACAGCCTCCCTCTTAGTATTCTCAACACACTGGCAGTTTTCTTTTACTATGCTTATGTCATCCATGGGCCTGGGTTTATTCAGAACAATTAGACGTACTGTGTTCTCCCTTTGTGCTTTCCCTCTCTTGCTTTGAAATATACAATGATTAGCACTGTTAGTGTTTTCCTTAAGGAGCAGAGTATAGATGACCTGTCCAAGCCAGTCATTACCAATGGGAGATATGAAAATATAATGTCATTATGCACTGTTTTCCCCTATAGGCAGGCGTGAGTTCTCGAGTGATTCTGGATAAGCTTTTGCTTATTAAAATTTTCCTTATTTTCTCATAAATAAAGCAAAATGGTTGTTGGGTTATTATCTGCATAAGGGTAAGGTAAAACATGTTTTGCACCATTTAGAAACTTTGGAAGGAATGTAGCACTAAACAATATTTGCATGCCTTTTGTGGGTATACTTCTGTATCAGATAATACAAAAGTGAATGTGGAGGGAAGTCCAGTCTTCACAGAAGCAAATTCTTCACGTATGCGAAGATTTAAGATTATTTGAGTAGCTGTTAATGGTTCCCTCTTCTTTCGGTACCAGAACACCGGGTTGATACCTGCTACCCAAAAGGACCCTGCAGAATATTGTGTATCTGTCTTTCACATACATCTCTAAGCTCCCAGGAAGCAGGGACCAAGAGTCTGCATGTTTAACTTCCAGTACCTATAGAACTTAAATGTATTTTGCGGTTAATAGATGCTTGTTAAATTGAGTATCATGAAGTATGATTTAGCGCAGTATTGAGTGTTGGAGAAAAGATAAGGCAGTCACCATACTCACTTTCTTAAAAGTGAATTCCAAGTTGGGCTTTGAACTTAAGGACATATGCAGGAAGAGAGGAGAAAAAAATGTGCCAGGAATCTTCTTGGAAGCAGAACCTTCTGGATTGAAGGACTTCATTTCTAAGAATTGGCAAGGGGAGGGGGTGGTAAAGAAATTCTACTCCCTCCCTCCTTTGTAAGTTTTCTAGTATTGTTGATGACGTTTATAACAACCTCAGAAGCCATCTAATCCTACCACCACCACCTCTGTTTGTGAATCATTCTTTAGGAATTAATGCTAGATTATTTGGGAGGTGATATGACAGGCAGGACCATACTATTTACCCAGATTTATTGTAATTTTTCCAGAAAGATAAGTGTTCTCTTGTGTTGCAAGTCTTTTGAACCCTTATTTTATTCTGGGTAACTCTTAACTTGTTGCTCCAAGTTGTTGTTCATGTTTTTTTTTGTTGTTTGTTTGTTTTGATTTGGTTTTTTTTTTTTTTTTTTTTTTTTTTTTTTTGGTTAAGACTGGAATTTACAGTCTGTGACTAAGGACCAGTCTCCAAAATCTGCATTCTCTTCTAAAGGGTCAGGTTTTATCCTTGTAACAAATACCACTGTGTAAGAAAAAGGTGGCGATCCTTCACTTCTCACGTGAGGTGGGCCTTGATGCTAACTTATATAGAATCCTTATGGGTTCAGATAGGTAGAGGCCATCTTGTCCTGCAGCAATCCAAGTATTAGACTGCAGGGGATTGCAGATCTCAGGGCTAGAAAGAGTCTTCATTGATTCCACGGATATTTATCATATGAGGCATTGCGCAAAGGGTCGGGCTTAATGGTGAAAAATCCATTGTGTAATTCACCTGATTGGTAAGGCATAAGTGAGCCACATAAGCCATGGCCCTCCTGGGGCCTACATCTGATGCTTGAACTCTTCTGGCCTCTTCCCCAACCACATCAGTGTTGTAGAGGATCATAGAGTCTCTTCATGGGCCCTAAACATGATCTCCTCTCTTGATCATCTTCTTGCTTTGTATATAACTTTTAAAGTCCTCTGCATTGCCAACATTTTTTTGGAAAGCCTTCACTCATTTTGGGCTTCAGTTAGAAATTTTTGGGTCACAAGTCTGAGTATCAGGTTTTAACTCAAGACTACCATACTTGACAGTGGTGTGTGTATTGTATATTCACTGGGAAGGAAGAGATGCCAAAGGGAGGAACTTTACAGTTGACCAGGTGAGTTCTGGATTGAGTATAGAAGTGGAATTGGACCCAAAGGACAAATATAAGATATATTAGAATGAATCGGACTTCTGACCTATTAAAAAGGGGATTTTGTGCTCAGAACTACGGGGCCATTTGGCTTAGGATGGAAGGTTGGAAAAGGCTATGTTCTTGCCAGTCTTGCTCATTTTTTCCCTAGCACCTGTTTCAGTGCCTCACACAGAGTAGATGCTGAAGAAGCATTTGATGAATGAATAGACAGAATGAAGATTATTCAAAGGGAAGCAGATTTGATCTGGAGGAATGACTAAGTTTCTTCATTTTTAGTAAGCAAATTGAACTCTGTAAGGTACAGGAGGGGCTTCTCATTGTGACAGCTATGCCCCCATCAACATCAAAAGGAGAAGGTGAAGGAGTTAATGAGCTTGTGTAAAGTATGTTTTTTTCTTATGCTTAACTGACTGTTGCAAAGCCCTTTTTAATTTTGACAGGCTTTATGGAAGGTTAACCAAAGAGGACATTTGTGCATGTGATATTTTCTAAGCCACCTTTGCAGTTAATGAAATACTTTTATTTCAGTAAAATTAAAATGAAGAAAACACATATCCTCTCATCTTTAAGGAAGTAAAAAAAGAAGACTGTATTGATGCAGGGCATCTAAAAGCAGCATTGGGTTTTGAGTACCAGCAGGCAGCTCTGGCACTTTTAAGCACTTGTTCTTCCCCCTGACTTTGGAGTCCATGCTAACATTTTTTTTTTGTCTTTTCTTTTTTGGTGCTGGGATCGAACCCAGGGCCTCACGCATGCTAGATAAGCGCTGTACCACCGAGCTACATCCCAGCCCATGCTAACTTTGTAACTACTGTCATATTGATACCGGCCTCATGGAAAGGGCAGGTGCTGTCCCCATTTCTCACTTTCCTACTCTCCTATTTTTAGGACTGCATTGATGTAGGCTGGTGGGAAGGAGAGCTCAATGGCAGACGAGGAGTGTTCCCTGATAACTTCGTGAAGTTACTTCCACCGGACTTTGACAAAGAAGGGAATGTAAGTCTCCATGGATTTCATCTCAGTATCCCACATGTTGCCAGAATTATGGCTTCCGTGATGGGACTTGGAGTGGGGAATGGGGGAAGTTTGGTGTAATGCTGAAGAGCACTGGCATTTGAATGTTTGGTGGGCCTGGGTTCTGAACCCTTGGCTGCCCATACCGTAACATACCATGATAGAACTCATCTGCCAGCTGGCAGCAGTGATCCCTATTCTAGGGTTGCACATATAAATAAGATAATGTGTCTGAGGTACTTGGTGTAGTACCTAGTACACCTGAGTGCTCAAATAAACTGTGAGAACCCTGGGTGCTCTGTTTGGAAAGCAGACTGCCTGCATTCTACGTAGCACGGTCTTTCGGGGTGGTGAAGTAGCCAGTATTGTGGAAGTTGCTGAAAAGCACATGAGACTGAGCATACAGAGCTAGGTCTACTAGTCTTACTCGACACACCTCTCATCCATGCTGTCTCTTTCTTTGTGAGAACCCATTTGATGATGCCACTATCTTGATGAACCAGTGCAGTTTGTTTACCTCACTCCATATGTACTGTTTCTCTGCCAGTGATGTAGCAAGAAGTGTGAAAAGGTGGAAACACTTTACAGTGTTAAGGGGATAGCAATTTCATCTTATTCATCCTGTTCTGTACCTCAGGGCTCTTTGCTCAGGCTTCTTTTATATGACTTCTGCCCACCTTTCCTGACCTGGGCCCTTTTCATGCCCATGGGAGTTCTGTTAATGAACTGTGCTAAACCCAACCTTGACACATCTCCATTCCAGTAGAGCTGAGGTACAAGAAGGATGTGTAGGATACTGGTAGATTGGTTACAAATGATGCTAAACTAAACTAGTGGTGCTTGCACTGCTTAGATGAATGAATTAATTATTTAAGAAGCTAGATAGTATTGGCATCTGCTGAAATTATGCCCTGTAGGTCATTAGTTGGATTGGATGTCCAAGGCCACAATTTTTAGGCTTTTTGATAGCTTGGTTTCTTGTATTATTTAGGTGAAGAATGTTTTGTGTACACCCATTATTTTCTCTTGGGTTTTATACAATATGGGTTCTGCTTCCTGATATTTTCTAGGTCCTTGTTACTTACAGTGTGGTCCATGGACCAGCAACATCACCATCACCTGGGAGCTTGTTAGAAATGCTCAGACGCTACCCTAGATCTGATTCATTAGAATCTGTATTTTTTTTATTATTTTATTATAAATATGTGCATACAAGGCTTGGGTCATTTCTCCCCCCTGCCCCCACCCCCTCCCTTACCACCCACTCTGCCCCTGCCCTCTCCCCCCAACCCCCTCAATACCCAGCAAAAACTATTTTGCCCTTATTTCTAATTTGTTGTAGAGAAAGTATAAGCAATAATAGAAAGGAACAAGGGTTTTTGCTGGTTGAGATAAGGTTAGCTATACAGGGAGTTGACTCACATTAATTTCCTGTGCGGGTGTGTTACCTTCTAGGTTAGTTCTTTTTGATCTAACCTTTTCTCCAGTTCCTGGTCCCCTTCTCCTATCAGGCTCAGTTGCTTTTACGGTATCTGCTTTAGTTTCTCAGCGTTAAGGGCAACAAATGCTAGCTAATTTTTTAGGTGTCTTACCTATCCTCACCCCTCCCTTGTGTGCTCTCGCTTTTATCATGTGCTCAAAGTCCAATCCCCTTGTTGTGTTTGCCCTTGATCTAATGTCCACATATGAGGGAGAACATACGATTTTTGGTCTTTTGGGCCAGGCTAACCTCACTTAGAATGATGCTCTCCAATTCCATCCATTTACCAGCGAATGATAACATTTCGTTCTTCTTCATGGCTGCATAAAATTCCATTGTGTATAGATACCACATTTTCTTAATCCATTCGTCAGTCCATCTTGGCTGTTGGGGCATCTTGGCTGTTTCATAACTTGGCTATTGTGAATAGTGCCGCAATAAACATGGGTGTGCAGGTGCCTCTGGAGTAACCTGTGTCACAGTTTTTGGTATATCCCCAAGAGTGGTATTGCTGGATCAAATGGTAGATCGATGTCTAGCTTTTTAAGTAGCTCCAAATTTTTTTCCAGAGTGGTTGTACTAGTCTACATTCCCACCACAGTGTAAGAGGGTTCCTTTTTCCCCGCGCCTCGCCAACACCTATTGTTGTTGGTGTTGCTAATGATGGCTATTCTAACAGGGGTGAGGTGGAATCTTAGTGTGGTTTTAATTGCATTTTCTTTATTGCTAGAGATGGTGAGCATTTTTTCATGTGTTTTTTGGCCATTTGAATTTCTTCTTTTGAGAAAGTTCTGTTATAGTTCACTTGCCCATTCTTTATTGGTTCATTAGTTGTTGGGAGAATTTAGTTTTTTAAGTTCCCTATATATTTCTGGTTATCAGGTTCTTTGTCTGATGTGTAGCCTGGCAAATATTTCATCCACTCTGTGTGTGTTCTCTTCAGATTTAGAGACCATTTCTTTGCATGAACAGAGGCTTTTTAGTTTACTAGGTTGCCCATTTATCTATGCTGTCTCTTAGTTTCTGTCTGCGGGGTTTTCCATTTGGAGAAAGTGTCTTGCCTATACCTACTAACTCCAAGAGTATTTCCTACTCTTTCCTGTATCAAACTTTAGAGTTTGTGGTATGATGTTAAGATGCTTGATCCATTTTGAGTTAATTCTTGGATATAGGTGAGATACATGGATCTTCTAGTTTCAGTTTTTTGCAGACTGCTAAACCAGTTTTTCCACAGCAGTTTTTGTTGAAGAGGGCTGATTTTCTCCATCGTATATTTTTAAGCTCCTTTGTCAAAAACAAGTTGGTTATACGATGATGTGGGCTTCATGCTGGCGTCCTCTATTTCTGTTCCACTGGTCATTCATATCTGTTTTTGTGCCAGTACCGCTTTGCTGTTTTTATCGTTATTGGCTTATGTAATATTAGTTTTGAAGTTGGTTATCATAATACCTCCAGCATTGTTCTTTTTGACTGCAGTTTATTTGCCTTGGCTATTCGTGAGCTTCTTGTGTTTCCATAGAAATTTCACAGTAATTTCTTCAATCTCTTTAATGAAAATGTCATTGAGTCTTGATAGGAATGCATTCAAACGGTAGATTACTTTTGGGAGTATCGACATTTTTTACTTATGTTGACTACCAATCCATGACGCATTGAGAGATCATCTCCACTTTCTATAGTCTTACCTCAGATTCTCTTGTCTCTCAGAAGTTTATAGTTTTCCTTGTAGACGTGCTTTTTCACATCTTTTGTTAGTTTTACACCCTAGGTATTTTAGATTTTTTTTGAGGCTATTGTAAATGGAATTGTTTTCATACATCCTTTTTCCGTTTGCTCATTGTTAGTGTATAGAATGTAATTGATTTTTCCATGTTGGATTTTTATATCCTTTGCTACCTTGCTGTAGCTATGATGATGTCTAGAGCTTCTGAGTGAGTTTTTCTTGGACGGTCTTAAAGGGTATAGGATCATGTCGGATCTGCAAAATAGGGATATTTGACAGTTTCTTTACCTATTTGTATTTCCTTTATTCCTTTCTTCTTGCCTATTGCTCTGAGCTAGGAATTCTATTACTATGTTGAATAGGAGTGGGAGATAAGTGGCATCCTTGGTCCTGGTTTTCCTGATTTTAGGAGAAATGGTTTCAGTTTTTCCTCCGTTAAGTATAAATGCTGCTGTTATGTTATTCATATATAGGTTTATAATATTGATGTTACTTATTCTTCTATTCCTATTTTCTTAGAGCTTTTTTCATGGAAGTGGTTTGGATCTTTCAAAGGCTTTTTCTGCATCTATCTGAGATGATCAAGTGGGTTTTTGTCTATTTGCTTCTGTTAATGTGGTTTATTTACGATTTATTGATTTCGTATGTTGACCACCTCTGCATCCCTGGGACTGAAAGGCCTACATGGTCGTGCGTGGAATAATCTTTTGCGATGTGTTGTTGAATTCGGTTTGCCTTCTTATTTTTGTTGAGGATTTTTGCATATATATAGGAGATTGTGTCTATAGTTCTCCTTTTGGAGGTGTCTTTGCCTGGTTTGGGATAAGTCGTAATACTGGCTTCATAAAATGTGGTTTGGCGTTTTCCTTCCCTTTCTATTTCGCTGGAACAGTTTTAAGGAGGTTTGGTGTCAGTTCTTCTCTTCAAAGGTTGATAGCAATTCAGCAGAGGAATCCATCAGGTCTGGACTTTTTCTTTTTGGGGGAGACTCTTTGATTGCTGCTTCAATCTTCATTTCTGTGTTGTTAGATCTATTCAGGGATTAATTTCCTCTTGCGTTCAGTTTTTGATGATCATATGTATCTAGAAATCTAGTCCATTTGCTTTAGATTTTCAAATTTATTGAATATTAGGTTCTCAAAGTAGTCTCTGATGATTTCCTGGACTTCCATGGTGTTTGTTGTTATCTCCCCTTTTGCATTCCTGATTCTACTAATTTTTTTTTCTCTCCTCATTTTAGTCAGGTTTGCCAGGGTCTTATCTTGTTTATTTTTTCAAAGAACCAACTTTTTGTTTCATTAATTCTTTGTATGGTTTTTTTGGTTTCTATTTCATTGATTTCAGCTCTTATTTTTATTATTTCTCTCCTTCTATTTGTTTTGGGATTTGCTTGTTTTTTCTAGGAGTTTGAGATGTATCATTAGGTCATTGATTTGGGATCTTTCAGTCTTTTTAATATATGCACTCATGGCTATAAACTTTCCTCTCAGGACTGCCTTTGCTGTGTCCCATAGGTTCGGTAGGTTGTGTTTTCATTTCATTGACTTCCAGGAACTTTTTAATTTCCTCTTTTATTTCATCAATGATCCATTGTTCATTAAGTAATGAGTTATTTAGTTTCCAGCTGTTTGCATGTTTTTGTCTTTACTTTTGTTGTTGAGTTCTACTTTTACTGCATTGTGATCAGATAGTATGCACGGTATAATTTCTTTTTCTTATATTTGCTGAGGCTTGCTTTTGTGCCCTAGGATATGATCTATTTTGGAGAAGGTTCCATGG